ATGTATTCCAAGTCCTTTTCCTACCCTTCAAAGGGCATCAGTGCCACTCAGAGGAAAAAAAAAAAAAAAGTACTGCTTCATACATATTTTTAAGAATAAATATATTCAACAATCCAAGAGTCTGTACGTGTCTAGTGTGTTGGACAGGTATTTGGAAAATACCAACTTTTATGCAGGAGAAAGAGCTGTGAAGGCATAAAGTAAGAGAAGACAATACGGCTTATTATGATCACGCCGGATTTAAAATACAAGCTACTAAAAAAAGTAAGCAGAAGTAGCTTACACTAATAGAATCCTCCCCCGTAAGTTCAGGGAAGCATCTGAATTGGACAGGTCAGGGTTTTGGTCCAGCACACTGGAACCCTATAAGTAAGCCAGGAATAGATAGATACATACAGAACAACTTTTAAAGTTCTTCTGTTTAAATGAAAATAGTATCAGCTTTGTAAAGAAGTTTGGGGAAAAAACATAGGCACCACATGGGTTTTGTTTAAGGTTCAAACGTACATTAAGATGTCACAGTCCCCCTTCCCCCATTTATATACACATAGCTTATGTAAAGTTACATAATCAATAGAGTACCTTCAGCATGAAAAGCCTCTCAGGCCAACTGCCCACGATAACTACATTCAATAATGTGAAGTGGCTAACTTGGTCAAGCCATCTCCCCCACCCCAATAAATTAATTTCACACCACAGGAAGCAGTTACATTACAGAGCACTCAATGGCTGGGCTTGTCAGAGCTCTGAAACAAGGAGCACAGCTCTTCACAGGTCTGTGTTTCTACCGAACTGAACTGGGACTCCATTGTATTCCAGGCTAAGTCAGCCAGAAGGAAGTCATCCATTGCTGTCTGCGTCTCATTGCTGGTGAGGAACAAACTCCCTAGGTTCTCAAAGCAGCTATCCATAGTCTGTGTTTCCGCACTACTGAGCTGGACTTTGCTCTCCATGTTCTGGGTAGGTATGTTTTTAGTAGCTGGATATACTTCTGTCTGGGTTTCTGTATCAGACGAATCAGTACTCATGGAGAAACTAGACTGCTTCAGAATACTTCCTAAAGGCAGATGGGCATTTGTGTCCAAAAAGAAATTCAAGTCTGTCTGTGTCTGTGTATCAAACATCTCCAAACCTAAGAAGTTGGAATTTCCTCGGCAGCTATACGATTGAGTGGCACTATCTGAAAACAAGAAATCAGTCTGAGTTTCGATGTCCAGTGACTCCAAAACTGGCTCAGAGTTCAGGGTACCGAGCTCACTTTCTTCAGTCTGAGTTTGGATATTGGATGCCGAGAAGAACTCCTCAATGTCGAAGTCTATTCCTGTGCTCTGGGATGGACCAGAGGGCAGATGCGTGTCAGCATTAGTACTCGTCTCAGACAAAAGCCCACGATTATCCAGTGTCTGGCCAGGCATGCTTCCTGAAAAGATGTTTTCCAGATCACTTAGTAGGTCCATTGTCTGGGTTTGATTATCCGTCGTATTCTGAGGTGGAAGTATATTAGTCTGTGTATTGAAGGTGATAAGAGATTCAGACTTCACTGTATCTTGGTTCAGGCTCTTGCAATTACTCCTCTGCAGCAAGGTTTGATCTATATTTTCAGGCATTAAATTGTTTTCTGGAAGTTCAATGTGAGTTGAAACATTGTAAGATGAATGGACATTGTCAAAGATGTCACTGCACATTACTGCCTGGTCCATTTGCACCGTGTCCTGTGTCCTACTCGTTTGAGTCTCTCTAGAAATGCCACACGTTGGAAAACAAACCTGACTGAAAGCATCAGTCTGAGCAGCTATGGATGAGGTCAGTTTGGATGCAGGCAGCAGTGTCTGTGTCTGAACACTGATGGGTAATGAAACCTGTGAACTGAATGACAGATCTGTCTGAGAGCAAGAGGAAACAGAAGAACTGGGAGTCCAGGCTGCAGCCGGTGCAAAGTTCTGTGAAATACATGACAAGTCAGTCTGTATATTTATGGAAGAGATTTTGTTCTTGTGAGAAACACGCCCCATCTCTTGCCCTGTGCTGTTCGATGTAACCTTGTCCAACTCCACCTGGACACCAGTACTTACTGGTTCACGATCACCAGAATTTGTCACTTTTGAAACAGGCATACTATCTTTAAATACAAGTGTTTCTGCCTCCAGTGCTGGAATCAGAATTCCTATGGATTGAGGCAATAAATGAACAGTACTTACAACTGAACCTTGATTATCAACAGCCACTACAGCGGGTTTGACGGCAGAGTCTGTTGCAGACACATACACAGGCAAGTGAGCGAGCTGCATCACTGGAAGTTTAACCAAAGCCACCTTGGGCTTTGGTAGAAGCATCTTCGGTGTACATTTTGGCTGCATTTGGTTCATGAAGTTAGAACGGCAGGAGCCTTCAAGAGAGGCCACTAGCTTCACTTCAGAGGACTCCAACTCCTGAGTGCCAGGGTTACTATTGTGTGTATTGATGAATGCTTCCTTGGCTTTCTCTGCCAACTGCTGATTATGTACAGAAGTTTCCATTTTCCTTTTCTTACTAGGAGGATCCCTGTGAACACGAGATCAATAATTTATACTCCTTTCAAGCACAAAACATCTGCCATCCATTCTTTTAAGGCATTGCATTGAAAATATAATCTGAAGTCTCAAATGAGGCTGGATATGAGAAGATAACTAATCCCAAATAAAATGTAAAAGGACTTCAAGAACTTCCATTTCATACAATTTCATTCCTCACTCTCCCGTTTTAAAAAAACATAAAAAGGTTGCCTCCTTTATGAAGACCTATTTCTAAATGGAGGTGGAAGTTTAGATGGTTTCTTCCCCCTTGTACACTAAGCACTTTGATCTGAAGATAGGTTTGTTACTTTGATGCTAACTCAGACTGAGTGTTGAAGGGACATGGAAACTCAAGATACAATTAACTCTTCTTGACACAAAACTTAATTTTGCAGCAGTTGAATCTCCCAGACAGACACGCTAGGCCTCAGGACCCAGATCACCCTTTATGAAATACATGTACACATTAAGACAAATATAAATCTAAACATGTATATATTAAAAAAAAAAATCCATTAATACTTGTAAAGAGAACTAGACTACAGAGGAAAATAAACTGAACTGCATTCCACACTACAGTTACCAGGTATAGACGTTTCCAAATCATCTCTACTCTCACTGAACTGTAAAAGCAGATGCAACAAGCACCACTTGCACTTATGCCCCATAGTGCAGTGTCATCTATACTTATTTTAGATGTAGAGAAACTTGATCTTATTGATTGGACAACCATAATTGCCTTCAGCAAAACAGGAACAAATAAAAGCAAGAGAACCAAGAAACCACAAACTGCTTTACAGCTACAACAATGTGAGCCTATTTCCAATTTAATCGACAGAACGGAGACAAAAAGCCGGTACTTCGGAGCCAGAGGACTTGGTGATGAATAGAAGGATCATTACTTAACTGCTTCCCTCTTACCTGTGTTCTGCAGGAATTTCATGGCCAGTTCTGTAAATGTGAGACAGTAAAGCTGTTCTGCTGGCATAAGGGCACCCGCAGGTACACTGGAAAGTCTTGCCGCAGACCTCTATGTGCCGTTTCAGGTACCATTCCGTACCGTAGGAGTTACTACACTTATCACATTTGTGCTTCTTCTCAGCATGCATTTTCATAAAGTGCTGGAACACACAATGGAAAGTAAACATCAGCTTTCAGCTAAGATACAAAAAAAATAAAACTATGTTTAAGGGAGATATCAATATTCTCATTTTTTCAGTTGTTAAATAGCATTGAAGAGTAGAATTAATTTTCTTTTAAAAGTCTCATTAGGGATATGTTACAAGCTTGAAGAAACCAACAGGAAGACTTTTAAAGCCTGCAAATCTGCTTGTGCTCTGTGCATCTTAAAACACAGATAAACGTTTATGCGTCCTAATGCTGGAGGTTTTCCATGGGCATTAACAAACCTACAGGCCAATCTTGCCAAGAGCGCAGTAAGTACATGTTGCAACATGTGCACGCTCCTGAAGAGCTACAACTGAGCAAACAGCCTGGAGTCAAACAGGCCAACTACACAGCAAACACCACAAGAATTTTTCCTTCTGACTTAGGGCATCAAGTGCCAGCCCATCTCCTGTGGTCTCCCCAACGTATCACAGGCAACCAACCACAGAAGAGTGCTTTTTCACTCACTCATGTGGAAACAAGCCTTAGATGTTTTCTTGAACAGGTAACTAGTAAACAAACGTATTTTAATACCAAAGCAGAGAAATCTCTTAATTCTTCACCACTTGAAAAAACAATTTAAAAGCATCAGCCACATTTCAAACCCTTATTGGTTGCTCCCATGAATACCCCTTCCTGCCTTTTGATCCTTCTCCATCTTTTTAGTTTGTGGAGAGAGGCTGTCTTCTAGTTTAGCAGAACATACTGGCATCTGTCTGATCAAAAGCTTCAAGTCCTCTAAAGTCAGCATGCAAATTCATTAACCATATGTCCATGTGGAGTTTTTGCATACTGTCCTCCAACTTCTAGGTGTATGCCAAGAGGCTTTGCTCATATCTAAATGTAAAAGTGTACATTCTCTGGAGGCAATCGGGACCGAATCAGTACAAAAATAATACTTTAGGAAACAGGAATACCTGTTTTACAAGAGAAAATTGAGAAAATGGTCTGTTTGGTCCTCTAGGGCAGCCTTCAATAGGACAGCAGTAGAATTTCTGTGAAGTTTTCAAACCCTTCCTTATTGGTGCATTAAGTTTTCCATCCTGAAAAAGAACCAGTTGAGAAGTTGATGATTCTACAGGTTTGTGTATTAAGGACAACATCCAGAACACACATCAGCTTTGGCTCACTGAGTTGACACTCCTCAATGAGTCCCAGGCACATTCCTAAGAGATCTGAAACTCAAATAGAGTTTTACACCTATATGGATGCTACTTCACAAATATACCATCAAAACTATTATGTGAAATTACAACAGGCTCTACAGAGTAGTGGTACTGTACTATTTACTTTTACCAATAGATTGGCTGCCCCAAGCCAACTGTAACCACCTTCAGTGGCATTTGGGCCAACCCCCTTTCCCTCAAGGAACAATGTGAAA